TTCTCTCCAAAAATCAATTCCTAGATTCCAATTCAATCATGGAATGAGGGTCACAGGCTTGTTAGCTTGTTAAGTGCTACCCTTGTAAAACAAGTATTATTCAAAGTATACAGCTAAAATAAAACGCTTTTATTTGAAGCATAGTTGCCTTATCTGAAGCTCTTTTTTTTCTTAGATTGTGAATGCCTTACATTATTTAAAAGAAAAGCATGGGGTCATGCACAGAGGTAAAGTAATATATTGTCAGCGACTGTCAAAAATGTTGTACTCCTGACGGGCTTTGCGACTATGCAACTAGACCGAACAGGAGTAAGGGTAGAAATAACTGTTAGCTGCATATATTATTATTTAGCCACATCTTGAGCTCGCAGTGTTTCCATTTTAGCCATGCCTAAAGCATACAGGGAAGATCTTTGCTGGTAAACAATTTGGGTTTGGATAATTATTCCTCTGCATGAAAACTAAAGAAGTAGCTTTTTATTTGTTCTCCCTTCGCAGACAAAAAGGCACAATCATTCGAGCTTTACTCTACATGATTATATTCTAAAGTGTGAGCTAAAAATGTATTGCTTCAGTGATGTTTACCCGTACACCCGACTGGGCAAGTCGCATAGTCCCGGATCTTTTTTAAACAAGAAACGCCCCCTCCCCTGGCCATAAATAATGAACAACCTCTTAGTTAACACTAAGAACTCATTACTATACCTTACTTAATCTCAACACTATTATATTTTTCTTTTGCACTAGATGTCAAGCCATCAAATATGTTGCTAGACTGTAATGGATGTGTAAAGCTGTGTGACTTTAGTATTAGTGGACGGCTTGTGGATTCCAAGGCAAAAACCAAAGGTGCTGGATGTGCTGCATATTTAGCTGTAAGTAAATTATAGACTACTTCAACAATACGGCTGCCATTTTGGATCGCAAGGCAATATACATCTAGGGGAGGGGGGGTGCAGGGGGTGGGGGCGCACCCCACCACGCGAGCTAAAGGTCCGCTTTTTAAGCAAGTGAGATTTTGGCTGGTATGATATTTTCACGTNGGGGATTATAAAAGAGCTAATGTGACAGGGCAATCATCATTTACATATTAATCAGTTATGGGGAATTTCCGAAAAAGAAAAATTTTTTTAGCCGTGCCCTTAAATTTTGCTATATATTTTCTTTAAACATCTAAAATGTGCAATTTAGGTCAAGGCCCTGTGAATGTTTAGCCATTTCAATTTTATGATTGATCAAAGTCTGGGTATGGCTATTTCACAGATCAATTTGGAATTTAGCTTGTTAGGTTTGGTCTAGGGTTTTCCAGAGGAAGGAATACCGGAGAACCTGAGAAAAATCCTTGAATCAAGGGAGAGACCTATATACTAAAAACTCTACTAGCGTATGATGCAAAGTCCAGGAATCGAACCTGAGTCCCCAGAGGTGAAAGGCAAGTGTACTACTCCTATAAGACACCCTTGATCGATCCCCTAGTAGTAATAGTAATAGTAATGGGGTACTTATATAGCACATTTCAAATATCTCAATGATGTATCCCTAGATTTATTGCCCTAACTGACATGTGCAGTTGTAGATCCAATGCCATTGAGATCCAATGCTTCTAAACTAATACTTCCTGATATAATTTTTTTAGCCTGAAAGAATAGATCCACCAGACCCAATGCACCCTGATTATGATGTACGAGCTGATGTGTGGAGCCTTGGATTATCACTAGTAAGCATGCAACGTAATCAAATATAATTATTTCTGTTACTGCTCAGTGCTTCCCTGAATTACATGTGCAAAATTGTACAATTTGTAGCCAATGACATTTAGTAGGTTTGGGTGGATGTCAATCAACAGGTTTCCATGACAATCCTTAGGCATATTACAGCACTATGCATTAATTAAAAGTATGACCACACTTAATGTATTCACATACTTCTTTGAAGGCTCAGGCTTTTTCCTGCCAAACAAGCCTTTGCATGCCTTATTGGGTAAAACAAGCCAGCTTCCCATCAAAATGTGTTGGTTTAAAATACATTAAAATACATGAATACATTAATTAATGTGGTCATAGTTTTGTGTGTTGCGCTGTAGCATCATCAGATACACAAAGTATTTCATGCCTGTGATTATAATCGCTGTAAAAAAGATTGCTAAGAGTAGATCTTACATGACTCAGTGAAATGTTATAGCATACAACACCATTACGATACAAATTTAAAACAAGTCTCAGTGTGGGAGAACTCTTACAATAATCTAGTACAAATGCTGTGACGAGGCACCGTCACAGTGAATGAACAACACAGATGTACTGCGAGCTGTGTACTGTGTACAGTCTATATACTGCCAGTATTATATTTAGGAATTACTAGGAATAATGTATTTATTTATTTATATGTATTAATATTTATTTTAGTAATATACTGTATGTATTTTGTAATCCTTTCTGTTAGGACCCTAGTGAAAACCACTTTGTGATCTAGGCTTCCTCTTTAAAGATTAAGAGGAATTTTTTTTTCAATAATGAGCAATAATGGCAAAATGCGCCAAAAGCTAGACTTTCATATGAGTTTTGATCCAATTTTTGTTTTGGGTTAACACTCAAAACCTTTTTTAAACAGTTAGAAACTGATGTACTATATAATTTTTCCCAGAGTTTGGAATACAATCTTAGGATTTTTGTATAATTAGTAAACAACTCAAATGCTAAGAGTCACCCTTGATGTATTAGCTGCCATAACTTCTTTAATAATTTCTTATGAAATATTTTTTTAATTTCTCTTCTATAAAAACAAGAAGAAAGATGCACACATTAAAACAGGATATCAGCCCAACCCTTTGTAGACCTTGAATTAATTTTTTTTCCAAAAAAAAGTTACATAATTTGAAAAATATATCTTTTTGTGTCTTGTTTTTTGTTTTGCTTTGCTTTGCTTTGCTTTGCTTTGCTTTGCTTTGCTTTGCTTT